GAAGTCGATGAAGACCTGCGACGGATAGCCGAGAGGGAGGCCTCGAAGGCGTTGTGTCCGTATGGGACCCGTTGTTACCGCAAGAATGTCAACCATTTGCAGCAATACAGACACGAAGCAGATTCACCACAAGACACGCGTAACAAAGCTGTTCCCAAGGGTGATGTCACTGTCAAAAGAGGTAATGGCTATTGTCTGAAGGCAATGAGTCCATTGTGTTGTTGACGGAGTTGTTCCGCACTTTTAGGCAAAATCACTGATTTCTTCACTAAGAAGACGATCACTCCGAAGAAGATATCTCTGGATCCGCCCAAAGATGTCAGCGATTATGAGATCGAAGACGACTCGGAAGACGAGGCCAACAATTCATCGACTGTTGTGTCCAAACGTCCCGCAAATACGAGTTTCTCGACGCCGTCTAAACTGAAGAAGAAATCTTCGCCCCGAATGGTATGCCTTTGGATATGAATCCTGTGGACACGAGTTTGACATTGTTTTTGATGTCTGTTTAGTCGAGGAGTGGTACTAAAGGAGCCATTAGTCACAAGAAAGCGATGAAAGGAAAGCGAGTCTATTATGAAGACATCGATGACGACTTCGACGACAGTTTGAAAGCAATCATAAACGACGACATGAGTGGTATGCCATCCAAGAGAAGCAAAGCTACTGCCCATACGAATGGTATTTAAAATTATCCTTTTATTTAAAATTATGTTAAACTTTGTCTGCAGTGAAGAGTCGATCGCCGCTGAAGTCTCCGATGAAGTCGCCAACGAAGTCAACGGTGAGACCAATTGAAGGCTTGATAGCAATCGCTGATAACAAAGACAAGACAACTGATAGTGAGATTTGCATCAAATCTGATGCCAAACAAAGCTGTGATTCTATGACGAGTCCTGTGAAGACAAAGTTGACACCAAAACAGTTGAATGAAGTGCTGAAAGAGATATTTTTGGTGGAAATGCCGAAAGACTTCTTTGCTTTGTGGCAGTTCTGCAAATCAATTAAACCCGAAAAACCCGAAGGTTTGTCCAAATGCTGTGTAATTGTCTGGAAGTATTGTCAACAGTATTGACATAATTTTGTTTTCAGACGCTCTGACCGAGAGCTTAGGGCTAAGACTTGTCGGTCCTTACGATGTATTGACTGGAAAGTTGAAGAAGAGTGCCATTAAGGATAGGGAACAAGTGTTGTGTCACTGGAGATATTACTACGATTTGCCCGAATTCCAGACAATTGTGGCCTCAAACAAGAATGGCTATCATTTGGGATACTTTCGCGACACTCCCGATGAAGAGAATCCGGTTGTCGTGTCCAATAGTGGCGACAACTCTACGATTGAGGGAATGGCTGATAATATTTGTGCCGCAATTTATTCAATGCTACAAAACCGCAAATTTCGCGGCACTTCAGCTGCTATCACAGAACTCGAGGTCAAACTCAGGAGTTTTTGCAGTAAAAACAAAATCAATTTCAGTGATACCTGTAAACTACGAGAAAGGAAGTCGAAAATAATGGCCAAATCGTTGAATGGATTCGGTTTTGTCGTTCCCTACGACAAGAAGACAGAACTGGGTTATCGACCGCTTCCGCAGACAGACTCTGAGCTCAAGAAACTGTTTGCGGCGATCATCAAAGTGGACGTCGATGTGAGAAATGAATGCAAATCAATGTCTGAATTGCAGGAAATCATTCAATTAGTGAGTTATGCGAACGACGAGTGCGACTTCGGTATGGGTCTTGAGTTAGGCATCGATTTGTTCAGTTGTGGCGAACAGTACTTCCATAAGTCTGTCCTCTATTTGCTTTCAATGGCCTATGATTTTCTCAAACGAGAGCCGTTTAGTCGTACGACTTCGGTATGGGTCTCGAGTTAGGCATCGATTTGTTCAGTTGTGGCGAACAGTACTTCCATAAGTCTGTCCTCTATTTGCTTTCAATGGCCTATGATTTTCTCAAACGAGAGCCGTTTAGTCGTATAATCAACGCTCATATTAATAACAGACGCAAAGGCTTTCATTTGGATTATATATAAATCTCATTATGTTTCTAATTCTTGTAATCATTGAATTCACTAATTATTTCACATTTAATTAATTATATTTTAATTTTTATAAATCAACAAAACATTTTACGAATTGTTATGAATCACTTATTATTTATAATAACTTGCAATACTGTATATTGAATCATAAAATGTAATGATTTGTAATTATTGTATCTCAGATGACTAATGAAAATATTAGTTGTTTATGAAAATAATTAGAATTTTTAAATAAATGCAATGTTAATAATAAATTAAACAACTTTTCTATACAAACATTAGTCATTTAGAGTCCGATAAGCGACTAACCATAGAAACTAATGATTAGAGACTTATCTTAAGACTCGACTGTGAACTAAATATACTGTATTTCATTGTTTTTAATGTAAACTCCGATTTATTTTGACAACTGTTTTTAATCAAACACTACAATCGGAATTATTATAAAATATTAAAATTATTATAAAATACTAATAAAATAAACATGGCATGGCGCGAGGACATGGATGTAGTGGTGGAGAAGTTTAAAGGTTTGTTTGATTTCAGTGAAAAGCGCAACGAATGGGCTTCATTTGGGTCCGGGTTATTGTTCTTCACGGGCTGGTGGCTTATATTTGGTATGAATTATATGAATAATCATTGAATTATTATTTATAATACGATATAAATCTACTTTTAATG